TTTTTTTGCATTTCGGCGGCGATGTGAGATAGGGCCATTCCATATTAATATAGCTTTGCATATTTGTAAAAACGGCTACGTATACAAATCTACAATATGTAGCTAGAAATACTGCACTAAAATACTTCATTGCAACTCGACATGCTTGCATACATACATACACACTTATGTATGTAGGTACAATAGGATAAAAGTTACGGAAGGATTTGCAGCGTAAAACTACAACATAAAAGTAACAAAACATGGAAACAACAACACACATGCACTATACATACATACATACATATTTATTGGAACTAGTATATACATTAAACTCGTGCGCAATTCTAACAAGACATCCGATCGCCGCGCAAATACTTTGACTCCTTTACTCTCATCGTTCGGGTCAAGTGTGAGTAAGCATAAACCAGTTTCTGCAAGCGTACGTAAACTACCGATCAATAGCAAGACGCGTAGAGTATTTACTTTGTCTTCCGCAACTACTGCGAGTAAAAGGTATTTGACAGTAGAGTACTCTACTGGTAGTACTTGAGTATTTTCTAAGAAAACATACATTTGTGGCAAGAATGATAGAAGAATTTTCTGGATCGTGCATTTGTGGTATCTGAATAAAATTAAGGACAGGATTGTAGTGGAGCGATGAAGAGAGCGACGAGCAAAACGTACTTTCAACTAAAATGCTAATATACATACCTAAGTACATATATGTGCATGCATAGATACGTATGTGCATAGATACATACTATGTGCATAGATACGTATGTGCATAGATACATATACATATAAGTGTCCGCATATATTTTTTCTCGTCACTTGTTCTGACGCTTCACTGCAGCAAAACCAAGTTGTGGGGAAAACCCTGACGATATGCGTACAATTGAAACCATGGGTTTGAAGATAGCGCAAATTGATGTGAAAATTTCAATTTCATATTAAATATATTTATGTACGCATGTACATATGTACATATGTATGTAAAAATGTAGTTTCGATTTAAAAAAAATCGGATAAAGTTTTTCTTTCGCCATTCATACACCTCTAATTTTAGTATTTATTAAAAAAAAACTCAATGAAATTCAAAAACCCTATCTTGCATTTGGTTTTACTCAATACCAATTTGAGCTGTCGCAGTGTTATCAAAAAAAAAGTTATCAATGGGTAGGTTCAGAAGGCGCAGCGGTTGAGCGCAACCGTTGCTAAAAAAAATCAGTGATCGTTATGCGTGTTCTGAACGACTTCATACATTAGCTGTCAAATTCAACTCTCAAAGGTACACACCATTATGTTGTCTCAAATGATCAGAAAAATATCAGAAGTACGCAACAACGCGTTCAGAAGGTGCAATCGCACCAGTTACTGAGCTGTTGCGCCTTCTGAACGTGCCCAATGAAAATTCGTTTCTCTTGAAATCAAGTTATACGGCTGCGTATGTATGTACATATGTACATATTCCGAAATTTTTTTTATTTGTAAAGGCTCTCAGGAAAAACTAAAAATTCATATAAAATTACGCACAATAAATAGAAAATAAATTTGCTTCTATAACAAATTTCTTAAATCAGTATGCAGCTCTTAAGAAAAAAATGCTCGTACATCTCGTCGCTACCATGTCCAACTATCGAATGTGAAAATCGGCACTTTTCAAAATTTTGATTTACCACTAATAATTTTATTTCGTATTTTATGAAAATGTCACATTAAACAACTGTATAAATCTACGTTATTTTTTATAAATAAGGCCGTAAACATTTCCAAAAAGCGTTCCTTAACTCAGAAATGACAGCAAAAATTAGAGAGCAACAGTCAGTGAGAGTGACTCCCATCAGTCCGAAGTAGTCAGATTTAGTCAGAAGAAATTTTTCTGGCAAAACCCTGAAAAGTGTCAAACTCCACTGAATTTAAATTAACGGAAATTAAAGAATACGCTAAAAGTGAGAATAATCTAAGAAGTAAAAGAAATGAATTGAGATTGGAAGGAGGCAAAAAATAATTCATATAGCAAGTGTTTATTGTGCTTGTGCTTGTGTGAATGTGTTTTGTACATACATTTCTGTTCTTATTTTACGTTAGTTTTGTTGTTGCCATTCTTTGGACTAAAACTTTGGTTTTTTGCGTTCCTTTACTTTTCCTGTTATTTTAGTGAGCGCATTTTGCTTACGCTGTGGCATTTCAATTTATTTCAATTTATTTCAATATTAAATATTAGTACAGTAAGACAAAGATCTTTTATAGTACAACAAATAAATTCAATACAAACACATACATTAATACATATAATTAATTAAATCATAAATCATCTATTCATAGGTTAACAGAGATTAACTTTAAATATTAGATGGTTCATCAATTGTTACAAAAGTAGCTATATAGAA